GAGGAAAGCTCTTCTAGCTAGTTCAACTTTACGAGTCATTTTCTACAATGGTGGTCAAACAAACAAAACAAGTCCGTAAGGTACAAAACAGGAAATATGGATAGTGTAGAGCGGATGTAGATTTGACCAATCAGAGGCCTCCTGTCTGCGGCAGTGTCTGCGGTCACCTACAATTTTGGAGAGGTGCACCAGAGTGTTTGCTGATCAGGTGGGGGCATATCTGCGTTCACTGCGACACACACGCAGGCGACCTGGTTTCTGAGCATAAACCAGCCTTAAAGGTGTGTTCACACCGAATGCAATCTCGGCGTCAAAAACAAACACCATAATTTGGATGCTGGGTGAAACGCTTGGACAAGATGCTTTGATGCTGTGGATGCTCCGCACTCTGGTTGTTTGTTTGCTCTGCTCTGTTGTTACAAGCTAGATAGCAGTTTTGCTTTATTTACTTTGATGAGTTGGAAGCATGGTCTTAACACGTTTTTAAGTGAGAAAGTAAAACCTCCAAAAATCCACTGTACAGTCAGTTCATCAGGGTGGGGATCATGCTAAAGTATGCAGTTCTTGTTCGGAATGTCAGACCTCCAAGATGCCGGCGGATATCCTGGATCAGCTTTTCTGATGGTTGACGCTCTGGCACCCAGCGGCAAACGATCCAATTTACTAACTCCAACATCGAATGGTGTTTCTTCTAAGCATTTATTCACAAGAAAATTATTTGGTAACTCAGGAAAGACATTATAACTGTAATGTAACTCATCAGGCCTTGGGACAGTTATCTGCTGTCTTAATAGATATATTTGAGTAGAGTAGAGTATCTGTTTTCCCTCACTAATGTATGTTAAGACAAGCTGAAGCAATGTCTGGTGGCACAATGTTGGAGAACAGAGGGATGTGCTTTCAGGCTTGTGTCAACCCTTAGACATTCATCTTATCTTTTTCTTTGTTTCCAATAAACCAGAACACTGACGTCCGTCTGGAAGCTGCAGATGTAAGCTCCATAGATGTTACATTGCTGACCTGATAAGCCATCATCTGATCGTGTTTTCATGTGTTTTATCAGCATGAGTCAGCTGCTGTGAGGCTAAACACCAACAGGCCAAACCGCTATTGTTGTGCTTCCACGTTTTGTGTTTGTGGTCAGCGTGACTTTTTATGGAGCGTCCTCAGTTTCTCATTCTTTAAATGACATCTCTGATTGCTTCCAGTCAAAGGAAAAACAGCTAAATTCATGGTAGCAGTAAAATGGTTGTTTCAGGGGCTGGTCTCTGCAGTAAAACCAGGAGTTCAAGTACCCTGATGGTTTGTTCAGCAACAGGCAGAAAGTGGATACACCAAAAGTGGATACACAGACTATGTACACTAACCAGCCACTTTTATAGGTGCACATGTTAGAGCAAACAAGAAATCTGTCAATTGGACTGTAGCAGCTCAAAGCTTTAAAGTATGCAGATTTTGAAATGTCGACTTCCAGAGATGTTAAAACAGCATCAGAAATGGGAAAGAATATGCTCCCAGTGACCTTGAACATGTGATGAATGTTGATGCTGGTCTGAATTAATCAGAAAATATTAATCTGTTAGGTTTCTCAGAATGCAACGATCATTCAGGATTACAAAGAATAGCCTGAAAAATGAAAGCGGGTGGGCAGCTGCTGTGTGGATGTAGCGAAGAGACATTTGCTAGACCCTTTTCTGACTCTGGACCTGTGCAAGTCCTGGATGGTGGAAAGTCGAACCAAACGATCCTCCTTCTAGGCCTAATTGTTGGCTTTATTTTGGACCTGTCCTGATTCGTAGGTGTGATAAACTGTGACAAGAACTAAAAAAGCAACTCCACCACTGCTGAAAGTACCCTCTTTGCTGGACCTTCTTCTGAACCAAGGAATTGGAATTGATCCACAGAACTCCAGACAGCAAGGCAAGGCAAGGCAAGGCAATGCGAGGCAGGTTTATTAATAAAGCACATCTAAATAGCACAACAATTAAAAGTGATGCATAGAGTTCATGATTGGTATAAAAAACAAATGTTTGCATCCACCAACTGTACTGCTGTTGGTGGTGTAATGACGTGGGGCAGAGAGGTATATAAAATTTGCTAATGGAATGATTTTTTTTACTCTTAAAATAAGATAATTAGGTGATATGAACTTGAAATAAGGACATGAAATAGTTTTTGTTTTCTCATTTTAATGTTGTCTTGTTCCATTGGCAAAGTTTCTCACTTACCTCCTTAATTCAAGAAAAGGTACTTATTTTAAGAAAAAAATGACTTATTTCGATTTCAGATGTTTCCAGTGTTGACAAATCTATGGTATCAAGACTAAAGGCAGCAAGTTCTAGCAAGCTGTGCATTATAAAGTGAAGTTTATTTTTTTCAAGTACCTGAATGAGCAGGAGTTTGTTGGCTGGGGATGAGGATTATTACAGCAGGTCGTTATAAGTTGACCATGGGTGGATGGATTTATTGTCTCCTAAATGTTTAAATTACTTAGGAAAAAACTATTTGTCCAAATGTGTCTTCATTGTCATTGTCTCCTTTCTATCTCCTCTTTCTTTCATCTTTTCTCTTTTTCTTCTTCTGTTCTATTTACATTGCAGTGACCATATAAACTGTAAAACTCCCTGCATAATTATATTAATATTAAAGCAATTTATATGCATGCAACAAGTGTAGCAGTATGGCAATTGCCATACTGCTACACTTGTGATAGTAAAATCTGTTGGGCTCTTTTTGGCATCAAGACAATTATTCTTACTGCCACATTGCCAGACAGGACACTCTTAAAAAACAAAATTAAATATGTCTACAAATGTTTCTTTACACTTTTACATGTTTTAATGAAATCTGCAGTCACATAACACACATACGCGCTAAAATGAGCATAAACCCAACCCAGACATTCAGAAGGCTCTTTACAAACATTCCTCTGAATTTCTTCTTTGTAAACCAAAAGAATGAAGGACTTGAATTGTCTGCAGCTCAGTAACAGCCACAGACATCACCAGACACACAACCCCAATGCCAGGACGAATCCCACAATCCTTTGCAGCATTGTAACATCAGAGCATCAGTGAATAGAAATATGTGTGTGTAAGACTAGAGAAATCGTTCCGCTTAAGAACAGTGTGTGTGTGTGTGTGGTCTTGTTTTACATACAATGTGGGGGAAGTATTTTGTAAAACATCTTACATATGGGGACATTCAACTGGTCCCACTATGGTAAAGTTATTTCCTTTGAGTTGGGGTGAGGTATATGTTGGTAATAGTTATGGTTAGTTGAAGGGTCTGTGTTAAGCCATATAAAATGAATGCAAGTCAATGAAATGTGATGAAAACAAAGCTGTGTGTGTGTGTATGTGGCAAGGCTGCGTCCTCTGATCTGAACATCTCAGGGGGAGGAGGTGTTAGAACTGGATTACAAGCCAAATAACAGAAAGCCACGACCCCTCCTCTCTATAAATTATTCACTTGAATATTGGGCTTGTCTTTTACATAGAGACACAATAAAGGACAAGCTTTAATGAATCGACCCTGATTTAACTCGCAAACCCTGTCTCAGATTTTTTGACAAGTCGCATTTCAGACGCATTTTTCTGTAGCTTCAATCTGAATCTTCATCATCATCAGCATCATCATCACATGCGTTCCACAGATGAAGAGGTGAACCAGCGGCGCAGGAGGCTCTGTGCTGTCAGTGTGAACTCATTCACATGCAAAAGGATAAATATAGGATTTTGGGGATTAAAGAAGCCGTCGGTGTTTCATATTTTGGTTCTATTTCTTCTTGTAGGTTGGTGTCACCGTACCCCCATCCCACTCTGTGCAGTCTGTTACCATGGAAACCACAACCTTTCTCCATCCCCTCCCCTTTTTCCATCACTTTGAAGTCAGTGTGGTGACCTACATTAAAAATCTTTATTAGTTTTTGACTTTACAAGTTCATCCAGAGGATCATGTGTATATTACCATCTCTGAGGCCTGTTCTGATATGTTGACGGTACTACTGTGGCATCTAAGGTGTAGATTATCTGTGCTCTGCTTCCTGCAGTAAACATATTTCTGTCATTTTTTCAGCGCATAGCAGCCATAATCCCTGTCGCAGTATGTTTTACAAGTCTCTTCAGTAGTTTTGAGTTAAAAGTCAAACAGTTAAACAGCAATTTATAGTTAGGGTTTAATTTAAGAGGAAATTTTGACATAAAGAGATTTAAAACAGGATTTGCTCCACAGATAGTGACCTATCTATTCTTCAAACCCATTTTTTAATGTACCCCATGATAGCTGGTACGTCTCTACAGTGGTCAAAGGCGAAAGAAGGGAAAACACCCTGATAGCTCAACAGTTTATGATGGGTTTACTATTCAGTAAAACTATTGTATGCTGAATACTGCAGAGAGGTATGTGGTGATGAGGGGGCGGGGATTATCCCTGGTAGTGGGGTGGGGGTCTACCAGACAATTCACCACCACATCACAGGCAATCAAACAGAAGGCTTTTTATATTTTTATATCATATTTTTATATTTTATTTTATATAATAATATTTTTTATTGTATATTTTTGTTGGTAATCTTTAAATGTAAGGTCCTCCTTGTAAAATCAGCAATGTTAACTCATTTTCATGAAGAGTGATTACAGTAAACAATGTAAACAAATTAAAGCATGTAGTCAAAGCTTACATTATTTGTTTCTCTGTATGTTCGTCTTTGCATCTAAATCTTTAATCCCTGACATTCTTTTGTATTTTTACCCAGCAGGAATCAGTGGATTCCTCCTCGCTCTTTAAATGAAATCAGCTGCATACATTTTTCCTAAATGATTCCTGAGGGAAAACAACCAGCTTCCCAACCAGTTGGATTCTCTCTTTTATTGCTGTTTCTAAAGACAATGAACTGCCTGGAACAAGAAGAATGACTTATATGGAAACCCGAAAGTGGGACAGCATTCACTTAGATCCACAGAAGGAAAGTGTGGACATGGATTGTTGACTAAAACCAAAGGACACCTTTTTTGGATTCGGAATGTGCAAACAGCCTCCATTTAAGTTTTTCCTTCTCTCTCCTGAATGTACGATGGAATAAACCACAAAGAGAGCCGAGAACGGTGGGAAATCCATTGCAGCGAATAGCAGGAAACCCTCTGCTTGAACAGAAATCTTCTCCTGGCTGTGGTGAGGAACAAGGGGTGTGTTTGGAGGTTCCACCCCACCACAAACACTCTGCCGCTCGCAGATGGAGGCCCACCAACACTCCCCAGACACAAGCAGTGAGGAGTGCACCGTCCTGGAGGCCCCACCCAGCAAGAACTCCTGCCTGCAGCATGCAGGAAAGGTAGGAGATGTTTAAAGCAGCATTCTGCTGAGAATGCTGAATAATCCTAACTGTACCAACTGTGGTCTTCAGAAACACTGTTTCCATTTGGTAAACATTTACCATGAAATGAAACCATCAAGTGATTATGGCCAAATGAAATTTGAATGTTTTAAGTTAGCAATTTAAATTCTGTTGAAAAGTGAGTCACAGGTTAAATTCCTCACTGTGTCTGTCTGCAGGTGGCTGACCTGTACTGCTCAGCCTGTGAGTGTGCGCTGTGTGAGGACTGCTTACCGGCCCACGAGGATCACCCCAAGGTGGTGCTCAGCCAAGCCCTGGAGCAGCGCAGGAACAGGCTGCAGGAGAGACTGGGGGCGGTCCAGAACAGGTACAGGCTGAAGGCAGCTACAGACATGGCCATTTCAATTATTTAATACTGAAAAAGAGGAATGTGCTTAAGGGATATGAAATGTATATATATAAAAAAAGGAAATAGATAATAGAAATATATGGTTGAGGCTAGAGCAATATGGAGAGAATTCTGTTCTTTTATTGTTGTGAGCAAAGAAATGGAACCAAGATTTGGAATTTTGAAAAAAGCTTTTAATCCAAAACTGGTTTGGAGTAAATTTGCTGTTTTCCCTTATATATTTCAATAATTTCCTCAATTTGTTTTTTTTTTTTTTACAGAGTTCTTATTTTGAAATGTTACGTTTTTCATATTTTCCTTACTTTGATTAAGGTTATTGATTGCTTGATTGATTGACTTGATCTCAGAGTGGAGAAATTTACTGGTTACATCAGCTCAAATAGCCAAAGGAGAACAAGGTGCCAAAGGAAGTTAACTGTGCATGGGATGTATACAGTATATATACACTATATTGCCAAAAGTATTTGCTCACCCATCCAAATTATTGGAATCAGGTGTTCCAATCACTTCCATGGCCACAGGTGTATAAATTCAAGCACCTAGGCATGCAGACTGTTTTTACAAACATTTGTGAAAGAATGGGTCGCTCTCAGGAGCTCAGTGAATTCCAGCGTGGAACTGTGATAGGATGCCACCTGTGCAACAAATCCAGTCGTGAAATTTCCTCGCTCCTAAATATTCCACAGTCAACTGTCAGCTGTATTATAAGAAAATGGAAGTGTTTGGGAACGACAGCAACTCAGCCACGAAGAGGTAGGCCACGTAAACTGACGGAGCGGGGTCAGCGGATGCTGACGCGCATAGTGCGAAGAGGTCGCCAACTTTCTGCAGAGTCAATCACTACAGACCTCCAAACTTCATGTGGCCTTCAGATTAGCTCAAGAACAGTGCGCAGAGAGCTTCATGGAATGGGTTTCCATGGTCGAGCAGCTGCATCCAAGCCATACATCACCAAGTGCAATGCAAAGCGTCGGATGCGGTGGTGTAAAGCACGCCGCCACTGGACTCTAGAGCAGTGGAGACGCGTTCTCTGGAGTGACGAATCGCGCTTCTCCATCTGGCAATCTGATGGACGGGTCTGGGTTTGGCGGTTGCCAGGAGAACGGTACTTGTCTGACTGCATTGTGCCAAGTGTAAAGTTTGGTGGAGGGGGGATTATGGTGTGAGGTTGTTTTTCAGGAGCTGGGCTTGGCCCCTTAGTTCCAGTGAAAGGAACTCTGAATGCTTCAGCATACCAAGACATTTTGGACAATTCCATGCTCCCAACTTTGTGGGAACAGTTTGGAGCTGGCCCCTTCCTCTTCCAACATGACTGTGCACCAGTGCACAAAGCAAGGTCCATAAAGACATGGATGACAGAGTCTGGTGTGGATGAACTTGACTGGCCTGCACAGAGTCCTGACCTCAACCCGATAGAACACCTTTGGGATGAATTAGAGCGGAGACTGAGAGCCAGGCCTTCTCGTCCAACATCAGTGTGCGACCTCACAAATGCGCTTCTGGAAGAATGGTCAAAAATTCCCATAAACACACTCCTAAACCTTGTGGACAGCCTTCCCAGAAGAGTTGAAGCTGTTCTAGCTGCAAAGGGTGGACCGACGTCATATTGAACCCTATGGATTAGGAACGGGATGTCACTTAAGCTCATATGTGAGTCAAGGCAGGTGAGCAAATACTTTTGGCAATATAGTGTATGTCCACATACAACAGCTTTTTCTGTTTTTTTGTGTATTAAATTCTTTTGAAAGTATTTTCTTTACTTGAAGCCCAACACTGGAGCGCACATTAACCAATAGAACTGTTGCTAAGGTCCATGCAGACCAATAAAAATGTGTCTCTGCTCATCACTGCAAAGGAAAATCCCTTAATTAGAGAAAGTGATCTAAAATAACAATTTCTAAAGAATGCAATTCACCACATCTGAAAAAAAGAATTTAATAGCATTTTAAATACCACAATTAAAAGAAATAAAATATATTATCAATTGAAAATATAAAATATAAAATAAGATGGAAATTGGAGAAAGGACTTAACTTACTTTCAAACCTATTGATGAAGTTTTATCAAAGTTTAATTTCTGGATTTGTTTATAGATTTTGATTCACAGTTTTTTTTTTTTTATTATTATTTGTAAATGCGTTATTTTGCTTGCAACAATAATGGAGCATAATTGATTCCACCCAGAAGTCTGGTCCTGGGGCCATTTACAAGCTATGGGACAATTTTTTGTTTCCCCCTAAATTGATTAACAGATGAAAAATATGAGGCTCTCCAGCACTAGAAACTCCTGCAGATGGACATAATATGTTGTTTTTTGTGGCATATTTTTATAGAAAATCTTAAATCTTATTAAAAGGAATTGTGAGTATAATTCACATTTTTAAATAAAAAAATTACTTACTAACTAATTTTTGTTAATAATAAAAAATTTAATATATGTACAATTTAATCAAAAGATACAAGTTATATAAACGTTATGTTTTTCTATAAAAGGAAAATAAAAATTACACCATATTTCTTTAACACTTGTGACAAAAATCAGATTTTTTCTGTTTCACTGAAATATAGCATGGTTAATTAAACACTGAACAGGTACAAAAAACGCACCATGAAAATCTAATATTTTTTTGTATGTTTCATTAATAAAAAAAAAATCTGTGTTAACTTAATTAAATCTGACCAAAGTTCAGAGATGAAAAGTTTAGACACCACTGAGCTGTAGAAACGTACAGCTTGTAAAATAAGAGACACTGACATCTGGTGGTCATGTTGGGAAATGCAAGATGAAGTGAATTATTAAAATGTATGGAAGAGTATTAAAAAATAAGAATATTGACTAGACCAAAGGAAGGAAAATTCAATGAATGCCTTAAAGTAAATCAATTTGATATTAACCTTTTGTCTCTGTGTGTCTTCTCTCCAGACTCCCCCAGATTTCAGATGCTCTCTCATTCGTCAGAGAGATTCTCCAGCAGCTTACCAATCAGAGAGCTTCCATCGAAGAAGACATCCAGTCCAGCTTTGAAGACCTGCACAAGCAGCTGGAAGTCCGGAAGAGCGTTCTACTTATGGAGCTCGAAGTCACATATGGGCTCAAACAAAAGGTGCAAACAGGAGGAATTAGTAATTAAGTTCTGGACGTGTGAACCAGTCATGTTTTTGGATTGTGGGAGGAAGCTGGAGTACCCGGAGAGAACCCATGCATGCACAGGGAGAACATGCAAATTCCATGCAGAAAGACCCCGGGCTGGGAATCAAACTTAGAACCATCTTGAAGCAAGGCGGCACTGTTCCACTTATTTATAGATGATATATAGTGATACATTTATATATAGTTACGTACGTATAGATGTTAGAGGATTTATCTGCTTGCAGGTTAAGGTCTACCCTTATCATTCTTTATCCATTGGGGTTTTAATTCATCAAAGACTGCTTTTGTTTAGGTTCTCCAAGCTCAGATGGACAACCTGACCCGAGGAGACGGGGACATTACAGCCACCTGTACGCAGACGGAGGAAGCTCTGGCAGAGGAGGCGAGCGTGGCGACCCTGGAGGCGGAGCATGAGCTGGAGGAGAGGCTGAAGGAGCTGGCTATACTTAGAATGCCGTGCCAGCCGGAGGAGAACGACCAGCTGGATCTGGTGATGGAGACGGACGGACTGAGGAAATCCATCCACAACTTGGGGACCATTGTTACAACCAGGTGACACCATACAAAAATACATGAAGTTCAAAACGAAACTCATATCATTCTGTATCTAGCCCTCATCTTTGCCTTCTTCCTCAGCGCTGTGGCAAGTCAGAGTGAAGCCATGGGCTCCGGCTTGGAGCAGTGCATTGTGGGACATCCTGCTTCAGTTACTATAGTAACAAGAGACAAGTCGGGTGGAGCCTGCAAGACCGGCAATGCCATCTTATCAGCTGAGGTTTGCCTTAACATTCATACTATGGAGAAATATAGTCATGGAGAAAAGAAAGTACACGCTTACTGCTTCTATTGGGATTGCGTTCAAACACATTTTGGAAGAATGATGAAGTCATTGGATTTATTTTATTTCTCCCCAAGAATGTGCAGCATAATTCTCTCTATTGTTTGAGTAAACTGAATAAAGTGTGTCTGCATGCAGGTGTTCACCCCCGATGGCAGCATTGTGGATGGGGAGATAGTGGACCATAAGAACGGTACCTATGAGTTTGTTTACACTGTGCCCAAGGAGGGCGAGTTCTCTCTGGCTCTCCGTCTGTATGACCAGCACATCAAAGGAAGTCCCTTCAAACTGACCATCGCCAAGGCCTCGGAGGTAGAGGTCGAGGTGGGTCAGACCTTCTCATCGTCCTGATTCATCTGCATTTGGATTCAGTCTTTATAATACAGAAAAAAGAACATAGAAAACAACATTTTTTGTCTGAAGTTTACAAGGTTCATTTGTATCTACTCTGAATGGCCAAATGCACTAACATAAATACCTAGATTCCTCATAAAGGAGCATATATTGGTTGTTGATAACAGCAGCCGGCTTTATTTAATGAGGCAGTAAATCTTCTAAGAATTATATAACCTTAGATAAAAAATGTAAGCTGTGACACAAATAGATTGGCCTTAGTGCCAGCTTTTATTTATTCTTTATTCAAAGACAGTTTTGTGAAAGGTTTCCGTTTCATATTTAAAACAACATTCAAATAGCACTTAAAACTATTAAATCCTAAGGTTTTATTGATTGATCAATCTCAGGAAAGCTTTGCTTTTAAACCCAACCCCTGCGAATGTAACTTGTTAAGGAGACAATTGCTATGCTCGACAGAAATATTTCAAATAACTAGTTTGTTGGCAAATTTCCCGCTTAGTAACTGACTGTGATCAGAGATCAACAGGTCATTGCTAAAAAAAAAACCCCTGATTTTTACACCTGTAAATGAACACAAACGACGAATTCCCATTTTGAGTCCGTAAATCAACGAAAAGGACAGAATGTGATGTAAATTATTATTTAAATTAAAAAGACACCTATTTAAATTGTCAATAATTGAGGTAGAAGGTGAGATCTGAAATCAACTCAGACTCGAGTATGCCTTAGTAGTGCAAAGCGTAATAAAATATTTATCCCCTTTCTGAAAATAATAAAATCTGTTTGGAGTCAAGCTTTTTTCAATATTTATGAATATATCTTGGGGAAATATGTAGAAGTAATTTACTTAACTTTATTCATCGACGCTATCATCTATGGAAAAACCTAAAGTTGATACAACTTGTGTTTTCCGTTTCCTCTTTGTTTCATAGGTGTCTCCCTCCACAACAACAGCAACTAACTCTGCAGCCCATGCCACCCCGTCCACAGGCTCCTCAGATGGAGCAAAGAGGCGAGGAAAGTCCCCCGGTCAGAAGAAGAAAGGTTCCAAGAGGGCCAGCAGTGCTTTGGGCACCCCACGACGAAAAACTCAGAACCCCATCGAGGATGATCTCATCTTCAAAATAGGTTAGAACTCCTGAATTTGCACTTTGAATTGTCATTTTATTGAAAGGTGCTTTATAAATACATTTGCCTTGCCTCGAAGCTTTCAATGATACAGTCTTTACAGGGTGAAACAATTCTCTAAAAAAAGAACAATTCAGTTATATTATTGGTTTAAACCTTTCAGCTCAATTCAGTTTATATATATAGCGCTAATTCACAACACGTCACCTCACTGTAATTTACAGAGACAATTCAAACAGATCATATAGTCAATCAGATTCAGAGTTTTATATCTAAGGAAAACCAGTTGATTACATCGTTTCATTGACTTGAAGGCAATTCCTCACACTAAGCATGCTTGTAGCAACAGTGGAGAGGAAAAACTCCCTTTTAACAGGAAGAAACCTTTAGCAGCAATAGACTCAGTGTGAGCAGCCATCTGCTAAGGACAACTGGGATATAAAGGAGACAGAAGCAGAGATACAGAAGAGATACACAAGGAAACTTTTAACTAGCTCCACAGGTGGCCTGTAAAGGAAACACACAGCCAGGAAGACGAGCTCTGAGCCAGCTCCCATGTCAGAGGATGAAGAGAGCACATCCAGCCAGTCACAGTCAGAGAAAAAGGACTACACTGGAAACCAGGCTGATCTCCAGCATCTATAAACAAAGGTGCTGATGGCAGCAGCACAGCTGATGTTTCTCTCCCGGATGGAGTCACAGCCGAACAGGAACAGACAAGATTAAGCTACTATGATAAAAAGCAGAGAGAGCTACAAACATGCTGGATGGAGATTTTTTGAGTAACTGTGGGCTTCCCCCATCATTTAGGGACTTTTTGGATCGGGCCGTTTTTCCAGCCTCATCGTGTGTCCTGCATAACAACGGTCCATTAGCCTCTCGCGACCACCTCGCAATCAAGAAGCCTAAAGTTTGGAAAAAATCAAACATGTTTTAAATTCAGTCAGCCCTTGTGAGGTGTTGTAATTCTGCTGTTGAAGCGGAGTTACAAGAACCTCTGGCACTGTGCATGTGCAAACAAGGGAGTCCTTCTTCTTTTTCTTCCATATTGATGAGTCTGACCAGCGCCATCTCTCTGCGCTGAGTCCATCGTGTGGTTTTTGGACGTACAGTGTGAGCAGTTAGATCACATTAAAGAGTTGGGCCACACAGTATAAGATCAAACATTTTGAGCTTTAAATTTCTAAACTCTGTGGACTCATTGTACAGTTTGCTGAATGGCCTGTACTGATATAACACTTTTTCAAGTCAGGAGACTTGACCAAATTGTTTTAGACTAAATTCATTAATTCATTCATTCACCCACACACTAACACAGATAATGGCAAACTACAATTTAGCCACAGCTGCCCTGGGGCTCACTGATAGCTTTTTGAAGTTTGTACAACAATTGAAAATATCATACAAGATTAAACAGATAACTTCTTTTTTTTTTTTTTTTCCTGTTTTAAAGGAACCAAAGGTAGAAATAAAGGCGAATTTACAAACCTTCAAGGAGTAGCTGCCTCCTCCAATGGCAGGATTCTGATAGCTGACAGCAACAATCAGTGCGTTCAGGTATAACTCAGTTCCTCTGAACTGGAGAATTTTCAAAGGGCTAATAAGGGCAAGCTAAGTTTTATTTTACAATTTATAAAATTGCCTCCAACAGATTTTCTCCAACGAGGGTGAGTTTAAGACTCGTTTTGGGGTACGTGGACGATCTCCTGGCCAGTTGCAGAGACCAACGGGAGTAGCTGTGCACCCCAGTGGCGACATCATCATCGCTGACTATGATAACAAGTGGGTCAGCATATTCTCCTGCGAGGGCAAGTTTAAGGTAGTACCGTACATTGCCTGATACTTTCCTTTCCTTTTCCATCATAGATGGTTAGGATTTTTGACATAACTGTTGTATTTGTTGTGTCAAAGGCGAAACTTGGCTCTGGAAGACTCATGGGGCCAAAAGGTGTTTCTGTGGACCAAAATGGTCACGTGATCGTCGTTGACAACAAGGCCTGTACAGTCTTCATCTTCCAACTTACCGGCAAACTAATTGCTAAGTTTGGTAGTCGGGGCAATGGTGACAAGCAGTTTGCAGGTAAACCTTTAAACTCTGGCAAAATATGTTTTTTCCCCTGAGCTGTTGTATATTCAGTTTAACGTTATATCAGTGGATTCAACAGAACAGAAATACATTTGTCAATAATTATAACAAAATATTCTTAAATCTGGGTGTATTATAGTGTTAATTAATATATTTTAAATCGCCGGCTAGGCCTTTAAAGAGGGCAAAACATTTCTAATGAAAACATCTGATTGCTGTTGTTTTCGCTCTCTTGTCCCGAAGGTCCACACTTTGCGGCGGTGAACAAGAACAATGAGATCATCGTTACAGACTTTCACAACCACTCTGTTAAGGTGTCAAACAGACTGCATTTATCTCATTGTTTTTTTTTAACTAATAAAAGAAACAACACAACTTATCACCGTGTACCGTATGATATTTTTGTCCTGTCAGGTTTTTACTGCAGAGGGCGAGTTGGTGTTGAAGTTTGGTTCAAACGGGGAAGGTAATGGCCAGTTCAACGCTCCCACTGGTGTGGCTGTGGATATAAATGGGAACATCATCGTAGCTGATTGGGGTAACAGTAGAATACAGGTACAACACTAAGTTATTGGGGTTACACTGCATAATGGTGCTGAAAACCCCCAATTATAACTGACATTTTCAATTTTTCAGGTTTTTGATGGTAGTGGCTCCTTCCTGTCTTACATCAACACATCAGCAGACCCTTTGTATGGACCACAGGGCCTGGCGCTGACCTCCGACGGACATGTGGTGGTCGCCGACTCTGGTAACCATTGCTTTAAAGTCTACCGCTACCTACAATGATAAAGACTCAAACTGAAATGGTGAGGATCAAGTAGGAAAGGTGGACCAGCAGGGCAGTGGTGGGAGGGAAAATGTACTTCTCACAATATTTAATTCCATTCATCAATAGCATGAACCTGTCCTGATGGATTTACCGAAGAAAAGAAATACCAAGGTAAACGTTCAGCCTGCGTCCTTCCATTATGTGAACTTAAGAGGAGATGTCTAATATTAGTGACTGGGATAAGGTATAAAAGAATGAAGCCAGCATGAAATATGAGGATGAAATGTCAGCCCCTTCAACAATGCATTTCTACAGAATGGGAGAAATGCAAACTGCGCAACAATGGATTCCTATTTTTAAATTCAAGATGTCTGCCTTCACCTACAGCAGTCTGGAAAAGACTGAACGATCCAGTATTGAAAGCGAGCAAAATAAATGTTTTCAAAGAGGACGAAGAGCAATGTCCAATGGAAACCATTATGTCCTAAATCTATGATGATGAGATGGAATTAATGCAAACGTTGAGATATTTATTTAAATTATTGATAATTTTACTTTGTTTTGCCTTGATGTATTTTATGTAAAAGACAAAAGAAATGTCCAGCGTGGTAAAAGGGGTCGATAGTTATTAAATTTGTTGTTTTTCCAGGTTAATAACGATTTTTTTCAGGTTATTGCTCAGATTGTTTTAAACCAAAACGGTCAGTTTAAAGGTGATAGCTACAGTTTTTTTTCTTTTTTTCCAGCGTTTTAATGTCATTACAATGTCACAAGTACAGAGCACTGAAATTAACTCTCTGCATTTAACCCATCACCATGGGGAGCGGTGGTCTGCCATTGTGTTGCGACCGGGGAGCAGTGTGGCATTAGGGGTCTTAGCTCACAGAGGCAGATTGGCAGTCCGGGCTCAAACTCAGAACTCCAAGCACAACCCTCTTACCACTAGGCCACCACTCCCCCAAAGCAGGCATTAGTTTGAAGGGTCTTGCCTAAGGACCCACACTGGCAGTTCATACCCCGCAGCTGGGATATTAACCCAGGCCTCCTGTTTGCAGGATGGGTGACTTACCACTTTTATGGTAAGATTGACTCTTTATGTCCAGTAACCAGCTCTCGTTCTTAACGGTTAGCTAGGTTAGCATTAGTAAATATTAACTTACCTCTCAGAAGATTAATGGTAACCTCCCAGTGGCTCCTTTGCTTCCTTGTCTTTACCAATGTTTAAAACCTTAATGATGTTCACGCCTGTTCTTTTTGGCTTGAATTGGAGAAACGTATTGCAGAGAAGAAGCAATTTATCACCTATATTAAAGCGCTACTAGGATCTGGCTACACCTGAGTGTATCCTTACATGACTGACATTGATAAATATTTATATGTTTTAAACTCATCAAAATTCATAAAACAATTTTGTATATCTTATTATTTTCAGTAAAATTAATACTTTTATGCTGCACCACTCTAGACATTCTGTGGATGTATTTATTTTGGAAAAATTTGATTTTAATGAAAATTAAAATTGTAGCTATGACCTTTAACTGCTCTGCTATTGTGATAGGAAATGTAAAAATCTGACCAAAAATAGTGTCCAAGCAAACTAAATCAATCAAAAGTCCATTAAAACGGGCATTAGAAAACATCCAGTCAGCAGAATAAAGGCTACAATCTGGTTGAGACACATAAGTTCGACATGTGGGTTAGTCGTTCGCCATGGACCACTTTTAGCTTCTTGTACACTTTTTGTACATATGGATTGTTTTGATTATGGAATGTTTATTTTTCCTCATAAGATCTTGAACAGTAGATTCTTCATCTTAAAAACAGCTTGAAAATGTTTCTGATTGTTTGGATCGTCAAATGGGATTGACGTAACGCCTTTGACCAAAAGCATCGTCTCTGTGCTTGATGTGTGTGTGCTTGTATATTAAACAGGGGAACGAAAAAGCTCTATAAATCTACTCTATATATTTATGAAAACATCTTAAATATTATGGGGTAAATCAACAGCTGAAATCACTGACATATACAATATATCTGCTCATTGTCTCAGCAATTGTCAAGAGAAGGCTGGGCTTCTAGATTGTTCAGATTTGGGTTCTTGATTAATGTCTACAGTTCTAGAAATGGTTTAATACTCTATACTTTTGACTTCAAATTGTACAATAACACATGTCCTCTCATTAAGAGACAATACCTCAGTGTTGGAGAAGCATGCTCCTGATGTTACTGCACATCTTTCCATCGAAGCATTTAGAATTACCTTGAAGTCAAGTTGCCTTCTATTGATAGATTGAGGAATTTTTGTTCATTGCACAAATCTGTACAATCAATACATTGCAGAATTTACCAAGGGTAGCCCATAACATCAGCTTCTGCTTTAAAGTAGGAATCAAGCCGATGAACACAAGGCCTCTCTTACCTGTTTATGTCCTGCTGCCTTTGCAACCTTTATCTACATGAGAGTTTCTTTGGTGATAGAAAACTGTTTTTTAAGTGTGAAAAGAGGTAACCAATGTTTGTATTTTGCATGCAATAATTAAACAGATTTAGTTTTTTGACTTTCAAAGAGTTTTAAAGCAATAAACTAGATCTGTTTGCTGGTAGGTTTCATTACAGAGAAGCAAAGGTGGGTAGACTACCCAAAAATTGTACCACTGAAAAAAAATGCAACCATATTTTGTTACTTTAACACAATTGTTTTATCTCCTTCACTGCAAATATGAAAAAAAAGTGTTCAAGTGACTTAATATAATAAAATAAATAATCTAACAACAATTTCATTTGGATGAATGGCAAGATATTTTGCAATACAATCTCTGATTTCATTATTGATAGTATGTTTTGTATGTAGATTAGAGTTTGGCAAATAACTTGCTGAAACATGATTTAGTAAACCTTTACTTCTTTTCGATCTCCAAATGAAACAGAAGGATCAGCAAATAAAAAAGAACATCAAAACAAGGTAGCGTTAACTGTAGGTGCTTGTCTTTCTGGTTGCATTTTTGTTTAAAACAAGCCTGTTCTTTATTGACTGAAGTTACTTATGATGGGTAGAAAGTCAGATATTTTACTCAAGTAACAGTAGTTATCCCTCTTATTTTTGCTCAAGAAAAAGTAAAAAGTACGATACAGGAAAAACTACTCTTTACAGTGTGTTTTTCTCAAAAAGTTACTCAAGTGAATGTAACTGAGTAAACGCAACTAGTTACTACCCACCTCTGCTGAGAGGAAACTGCAAACATAATGAGAAAAAAAAAAATGTTTATTGTTTGGTAAAACCCATTTCTGGTCCAAACATATAATGTTCTTACCTTGACAAACAATTGAGATTTTGGCTATCCCGCTAACAGTCATCTGCCAGGGAAGTATCCAAACAACTAAACCTTATAACTTAATTTAATACATTAATTTAATAAGTCTGTATTTTTGTAACAATGCATAAAAAAGAAATTATGATTGTTTCTTAAGTTCACTTTTATATACTGCCTAAACATGGTATAAGTGAGTAACTATAATGAAGCAGGCCTCCGACTTGGCAGTTTCATTGCCTATTCTGAGATGTGCTGGTCTGTCAATGGTCTGCAATTATGATGCTGACCTTTATCTTCAGCAAGTTTTACTGTCAGATTAGTGGATTAGAGAAACGGACCAACAAATACATGAATCATTAAATGTTTTAATATTCAGATTATGCCAACAATGAGGCAAACATTTAAAGTCGTAGGGAAGTCATTTTTAAATGTCAAATCATTCTGGCTTAAACATGTATATAAATGTAATCTTTATCAGACCATATTGTTCCAAAATTTCTATTCTTTTTTTCGTTATCTTATGCAGGTGAGTTAGTTCTATGTCAGCCTGAACACCTAAATTCGGCAAATCATATATCAATGGTCATCTGTCAATCAAATTTGATTCATATGTAGCAGCTAATATACGCAACAGTTGAAATAAGAAATAAGAATCACTTACTTTCTCGTTGAGTTCGGTCCCAGTGTTCACAGGGATGGATGTCTGTGTCTTCGGCAGCCGAAGAGCTAACAGAAATGGCAGCCGTACATAGAGCTCACAGAACTGAGCCTTCTACACCAACCAAGCTTCTGCCGCCCTGGCGTCCTCTCCCACAACATCTTTGTCCCCACTTTCCTCCTCTAAATAAAAAAGGGATGATGAAGGAGACTTATCCAGACCTCCGACACTAAACTCTCTTCCTCTTGCATGTTTCCTCTGTCCATATCGTTCCTTGACAGTGTCGTTTCTAAGTCACCAATTTAGTGCTACTTGGTCCCAATGGAATTTCCCATTGGGAACCTACTAGCACTAAGTTGCTAACTGGTTAGCAAGATGCAAGCAAACTTGCACTACAACAATCCCGCCCCCTTGACAAAGGACCAATCACATTCACTTTATTCACTCGTGTAAAGTCGGACACCACTCGGGAGAATTCGGAAATGCAATGTTTGGAACGGCCATTTCCCTACGACTTTAAGCCCACATACATTTTAAACACATCTCTTGTCCTATCTTTCAGTGGTTTACAAAATACTGTCCTCAGTGTGAGGAAGTCAAAAGCACTATGTTAGTAATCTACCCGTGTTCAGGATAAACTATCCCCTACCTTCTAACTTCCATTTATTAGTTATTATCATTCATGTACTCGTTCAGTCTTACTGATTGATTGTGTTTTTTCCACTATGTGCATTGAAATTCTTAAGTGCCCGTATTTTTTTTCTGTACATTTCATTGAGTCGTGTTGATCAAATGTGTTTGTCTTGTCTTTTGTGGTTGGAATGCGGTGTTATTTATTTTACTGTTTATTTATTTAATTTCTAATATAAAGTCATTTTATAGAGAAACAACACAAAAGCTAGCTAGTTTAAAAACACTTACTGTTACACTTCATAATCGAAACCAGCACAGTTTAGGCCCTATTTACACAATGTTTTTTTGTGTGAATAAGTTTAGCTATGGTTATACTGTTCTACTGTGCACGATAAAAGCGCACACATTCTCTGAGCAGTTTGGGAATGGATTCTACAGTGTAATGTTTTAAAAATGTCCTCATCTGTGTTATTGAGTAGAAAGAAAAAAAAACAAACAAAATAAATTCATAATAACAGTTTGGTATTGTAGAATACTGAGTTATACTGTAGAATACTGAGTTTACTACCTACTACTGGTGTGGGGTGGAATTACATCCCTTACACATGAATAGTCCCATTTGCATGCAGATTGCAATTACAAACGTCATGCAGATGTATTAACAGAATCGCCAAAATAATTCTTTTCAATAAATCCTTATTGTGCAAACAGGGCCTAAGCTGGTTACGGTAAAACATTTAATGCAGCTAACTGGATCAAAGCTGCAATAAGTAGCTTTTTAAATACAAGTACAACTCATTCAGTTTCTGTTTAAATGCTAATCAATCCAGCTGTATCAGATTGAAAGTTTTACTAAAAACCCTCCAATAGTTGCATGTTAAGCAGAATATGTTGTTTATTCTTTCTCTTTTTGCACTTATTAAAAGCCTGTTATTGCTGAATTTTCTGATTGTAGCAACCAAAAGTGCTGCTAGGTGTGAAAGTTTGTTTTTTATCCAACAATCAGCTGAGATTATTATTTTTTTCTCGTTAGTGATGGTGTTATAAGAAGTGGGCTAAATGTTTCCTAATTTAGACCTTGTCTGCTGGATATTCAGCCTTATTGTCTGTATATTATGAATGTGGATGAAATGATGAAATTTGTTTGATCATCTCGACTTGAAATATAATGCCAAGATCAGTTCAGTCAATAACAAGCATTCATTTGATGAAAGCATTAAAATGAATGTTTACTTTCACAATGATAACCCTGACTGTAACCCAGCTCTCGCTTAA